GTTTGAATAGTCCTGTATCCATTAAAGAAATTAGATTTGCAGTAAAAAAAAATTCTAAAAAGGACCATTCCAGGTCCAGGTGGCTTCACTGATGAATTCTGTCAATCATTAAGAGAAGAAACAATACCAATTATACACACTGTCTCAGAAACAGAAGAGGAGGAAGACTTTTCAACTCATTTAATGAGACCTATATTAACGTGTTACCAAAACCAAACACATTACAAGGGAAAAAATTATGCATGCAAAAGTTTTAACATAATAGTAGCAAATTGAATCCAGTTGTATATAAAAGGATAATATACTATAACCAAGTAAGGATAATCCAAGTAATGCACAAGGTGTTTTAACATTCAAAATAAATAAGAAAAAAACCCTATGATTATCTCAATAGATACAGAAAATTCGCTTCAGAAATTTCAATATATTTTCATGATTTTAAAAAAGTGACTCTCAACAAACTAGGAATAAAAGGAACTCCCTCCACTAAAATCTTATTAGTGAAGGATTATGCTTTCTACCAAAGATCAGGAGCAAGGCAAGACAATCTCGCTCTCCACTTCTGTTCAACATTGTACTGTAGGTCCTAGCCAGTGTAATAAAGCAAAATATGTATATATACAGATTGAAAAAAAGAAGTAAAATTGTCTTTATTTACAGGTGAAATAATTGTAGACATGTAAATTCTAAGGAATCTACAAAAAAAGCATTTAGAATTAATGTCAGGTTGCCAAGGTTGTAGGATACAAGGTTAATATACAAACATCAATTACATTTCTATATACTAATAAAGAACATGTGGAAAATAAAATTTTAAAAAATACAAAGAGTGTATTTCATATAGTATGAAATATGTTTTTCATATAGTATGAAAAACATTAACTACTTAGGAATATATTTAACCAAATATGTCAAGATGTGTACTCTGAAAACTATAAAACACTGTTAAAAGAAGTTAAAGTAGATCTAAATAAGTGGAGTGGTAGACATGTTCATGAATCCGAAGACTCAATATTGTTAAGATGTCAATTATCTGCAAAATGATCTATATACTTAATGCAATCTCAAATAAAATCCCAGCAGTCTTTTTGTAAAAATTTGATAAGCTGATCCTAAGGTGCATAAGAAAATGCAAAGAACCTATGATAGCCAAAACAAATTTGATGAAAAAAAGTTACACTACTTGATTTCAAAACTTACTATAACTCTACAGAGATCAAGACAGTGTGGTATGGGTATAAAGATAGATATGTAGACTAATGAAAAAGAATTAATAGTCCAGAAATAGACCTATGGATATATGGCCAATTGATTTTTGACAAAGATAGCAAGCTGATTCAAAAAGACTTTCAATATATATAGCAGAATCACTAAATACACCACACACACACACACATACAGGAAAAAATGCCTCAACTCACACCATATACAAAAATTAAAAGAAAGGGCTTCTGGTCAAGATGGCAGAATAGAAAGTCCCCAGCGTCACTCTCTCCCACAAATCAACCAGTCTAAAACTACTTAAAAGCAGTGACAGTGAAGTTGGGGCCACTAGAGTTGAGGGGAAGAGGAGGAGAGATATATGGAGTTCATGAAGGCAGGAGAAGCCATGATGAGAGAAAGATAGGATCACTCCCACCATTTCGAGCCCCAGCCACTTCAAGGCTGGAGCTGGTGAGCACACGGAGCAAGAGCTGGCAAAAGCCACAGCTATGCCTTTGGATGAAGTTGCTTAGAGGTGGTAGGGGAGAAGAGGGTTCTTGTGGACCCACGGAGGAGCAAGGAGCCACAGACAACTGAACAAAGGAGCCACTCAGAGACCGGTGAGTCATTGCAAGGGACTGGCACATGGCCCATCCCATGGGAAGTGTTTGGAGTGTGGGGGTTGGGGGAGATGGGAGACTGGGGAACATTGGGGCACAGCATGGACAGCTAATCTGCCCTCCAGTCAGTACAGGACCACACAGTGGAGACTGGTCAGGAATACAGAACTGCAGGGGGTGCAGTTTGCTGAAAAGACTCAGGCCCAAACCAGAGTTAACCAGAGTTTCCACACAAACTCAGGCCCAAACCAGAGTTTCCACACAACCCAGGTGTACCAGGCCTCACAAGACCCAGAAGTGCTTACAGGGTTGAAAATTAAATCCTGAGCTGCACAAAAAGCCTTCCCTAGAGAACCTCAGCAGCAAAGCAGCAATTGAGCTCAAGCACAGGGTTCAAGTACTTGTCCCCACAGGAAGTTCCCCCATTTTAGAAGTAAGCAAAAGACAACAAATTAGTTCCAGTGCAGAGTTTAAGTGGTGGGAATAGCAAATAATCCAAGACAGAACTGAAAGAAAAAACAAAATACCCACAGATCTGAGACAAAGTTTGATATTAACGAGTAAAAGTCTAACACCACCAAAGAACACCTATAAAACCCAGAAAGACCAGAAGCCCCTGGGCTCCCAAGCTGGGGGTGGGGTGGGAGGGAGAGCTGTGGGCCTCAGCCACACTCTCTCCCCAACAACCGCAACCAGCCCAGCTACAACCACTGATCTGCTGCAAGAAGCACCCTGGTCTCCTGAACTGGGGTGGTGTGGTGCTGATGGCTTCAGCCACACCTCCCAGACATCTGCATCAAGCCCAGCAATGACTGAGCTGCCACTGGAAGCCCCCTGGTGTCCCTTGCCAGAATGAGGGGGGTACCATAGGCCTCGACCACACTCCCCCATTCCTCCTCCTCTTTCCCTGTTTCCCTCCCTCTTCCCCTCTCTCCCTCCCCCCAACTGCTCCACAACAATATCTTAGATTGTAAAAATATAATAATATTAATAAATAAAATTTTAAAAAAGAAACTAAGAAAAAAAGGCATGTGGGTTATGTACTGAAGGATGTGGGCCACAGTGTTGCCTGCCATAACATGGAAAGCTGAAAGAATACCTCACTAAGGACCTTAGGGTGTGACACACAGATAGTGTGCTACACATCTGTGTGTACAGGTAAACTGAGCAAAACATATGGAGAGTTATTTAAGTTATTTAAGTTATTAATCAAGTACAACCTTCCAAAAGCTGTCTACAACCACACCATTTTAGAAACTCCAGAAAAACCTTATTAAGGGAGTTGTGCTTTAGCACTAGGTAACAGTTCTTACTGCAGAAAACTGTTTATTTCCAGATTGGTGGTAAAAAAACAAAAACAAAAACAAACTATCAGTACATCCCCTATGTGACCAATGAAGATGATCTGTCACACTTTGGTGTCAGCTTTGATGTCCCACGAGAATTTGGAATACTCTCTTCTCGAATTCCATATCAGTCATAGGACAAACAAAACTGCCTTTTTGCCATTACATCAGAAGGACAAGAGAAAAACTTGCACTCAACTTAGATGACTCTAAGGTCTTACAGCCTGCTATATCTACATGCCAACTTGATCTTATATAGGTACATTTTCTTTAAACTGAGTTTTGCTTATTTACACTTTTTCATTTTAATGCATGAACTCCATAAAACTCATAAAATACACTGTAAAACAATGACTAAATAAACAAACAACTCACCAAAGGAAAAAAAAATTGAATGGAAATGGATCATGGACTTGAACCTGAATGTTAAACCTATGAAACTCTAAAAGAAAACATATCAGAAAATCTTTGCAACTTTGGGTTATACAAAGATTTCTTAGAATGGAAGTAAAACACATGAACCATAGGAGGAATTATGATAAATTACATATTATCGAAGTTAAAATTTTCTGCTCACTGAAGGATACCATTAAAAAAAATAAAAGGCAAGACACAGACTAGTAGAAAATATGTGCAATATACATGTAAGACAAACGACCTGTATTCAGAATACATAACAATCTCTTACAACTCAATAAGAAGACAATTCCCTCAATAAAAATGGACAATAGACATTTCACCACTGAAGTATATTAATGACCAAGACATACATGAAAAGGATGTGCAATATAATTATTTATTAATAAAATAAAAATTAAAACCACAATGAGGTATCACTACAAATCCATTAGTATAAACAAAATTAGAAAGGCTGACAACACCAAACATTGGCAAGGAGTAAATGGAACTCCCATATGTTGCTGATGAGAACGCAATACGTTACAATCACCAAGGAAAACTCAGGAATATAAAAACAGCCCCTGTTGCATCCAGAACAAAGTTCCTAGTTGTTTATTTAGTGCATCTGTTATCATCTGAATGTTCGTGTCCCTCCAAAATTCATATGTTGAAATTCTAACCCCCAAGGTAATTGAAGTATTAAGTGGAGACTTTCTGGAGGGATGTGACCTCATGAAAGGGATTAGTGTCCTTATAAAAGAGGCCAAAGGGAGCCTGTTTTCCCCTTCCACCGTGTGAGGACACAGCAAGAAGTTGTCGCCTATAAATCAGGAAATGGGCCTTCACCAGACCCAATTCTTCTGGCACCTTGATATTGGACTTCTCAGCTTCCAGACCATGAGAAATGAATTTCTGTTGTTTAGAAGCCAGCCAGTCTATGACATTTTGTTATGTAGCCTGAATGGACTAAGACGGCATCCATTGCCCCTGCACTCCTTCAGCTCCTATCACTGCTCACCCACGAGACCGATCCTTACAGACAGTGGACCCTGCAGAGACTGAGTGTGTTGCCACCACGGTCTCTTTTTACCATGCTATTCACTTCACTGTCTGCACCCCCTTTTCTTACTTACCAGCCAACCCAAATTCTACACTTCTTTTAGGCTTCAACCAAAGGCATATTCTTCCCCTGTTGCCCCAGCCCATTCTGATCTTGCTCTCCTCTGAACTCTCTGACACCTCCCACCTGTGCCACATATGCAGGACTGTGATTAGAACTTGCCCTGGGATGTGCACCTGAGCAACAAAGGGCAGCCACCATATTTTGTACCCTTATTAGCCCTGCATAGTGCTCAGAACAGGGCAGGCAACCAGTGCCTTGTGGTGACTCCAGCTTTGTATTACCTCTAAATCTATGTGTGAACCGTCATACCTGTCTTTTAGCCTCAGGCTGTGTGGTGGGCTGTGCATTATCTTCACCAGGAAATTCAACATCATCTTCTTCCTCTGCAAGTGGGGCCAACCAAGTCCGATCATGCCTGATGCCCAAGGCCTTCGGTGCAGAGCTTAGTACACCAAACTCTTCCTGGGTCTCTGGGCCCCTTTTCATCTCTGCCACCAGGGAAATGATATCTTTACTCTCTGGAGCAGGGCCTCCTGTCATCTCTTTTTGCTTTGATAAGTCTTGCCTCCTGCACCGCTTGCGACAGATATGCTCAAGAGAGCGCATCACAAAACAAAAAGCCCAGTAGAACCGATCCAGGGCTAACTGGACTTTCGTTTTCTTGGCCTGTCCTTCTAAGTTTCCATCTCTCTCCTCGTTGCTGAAGGAATTTAGCAATAATGCAATGAAGAGATTGAGCACCTGGGTATAGGGAGGTAACAAGGAGAATCGACAATTTAACAAAGGAAATGATGCAGTGGGTTTCCAGAACAACCTTTCCCCAAGACTCAAAACAGAGTCAAATGAGAGTTCTAAGTCCTATGGTTTGCCAAGTTAGTTCATCTATAAAATAAATAAAAAAAGAGAAGATTGAGGAAGGAATAGAAACAGTAAGATAAGACAAAAGAAAAATAGAAATTAGAGTGTACAAACAGCCAAATCCTGTTTATCTACATGTATGCAGTATGTATTTGTAGACCGTGGCCAGGGTAAAGCAGAATGGGGGTAACCATGTGGCAAAACTAAGGGTGATCCTTCCTCGGGGATCAGTTGGATCATGAGCTTTGTTTTAGGCTGATTCTTCTCATTATTAGATAATATTTGCAGCTCTTCTGGAGGTCACAGTCATAAAAAGGCCCAGAGGAAGTAAAAAGACGACTTTCTTACATATATGTTTTTAAGAACAAGAAATCTTTCCCAAGTTCCCCCAATGGACATCTTTTTACATCTTATTGGCCAAATTAAGTCACAAACCCCTATCACAGCCAATCACTGGCAAAGAGAATATTGGAATAATATCCTAATATTCTTCTTATTACTAATGTCTTAGAATAATCATCTGGAATAAAATATATATTAGGGCATCAGCCAACATGAGCACTGTGCGTCAAGGAAGTTTTGTGTCATGTTTATTACACTTCCCTTAAACCAAATTCAAATGGAAATTTTTCATGTTTATTTGGCATTATATTTGGAATACTACTCTGCCATAAAAAAGAACGAAATACTACCATTTGCAACAACGTGGATGAACCTGGAGAAACTTACGTTGAGTGAAACAAGCTAAGTACAGAGGGATAAATACCGCATGTGCTCACTCATATGTGGGAGCTAAGAGAGAAAGGA